TGAATCACTTGTGGTTTTTACACACATCACAATTACTAAATTTCAGATTACAGTATTACAGTTCTACAAGCTCTAGCAGTTATCATCACAACCTTTGATGAATGGACAGAATCTTCAAACTAGAAAATGACCCCATGGAACTGTTTTGTTTCTTCAGAGTGTCTTACCAGCATTCAAGTGGGAGCGCACTCACTCTAGTCAAATCATTCAATGTGCATTTGTACGAACAGTAACAGTGCTGGCTGACGTTACTGATAAACCAATGAATTGTCTAGCTGCTGCCAGAAACACACAGTTGAACTCCCATTCCCTTCCACCCAGCCTGCACCCACCACTTTTGTACATGACTTCTATGGTCACAGTGGACCAATTAATGCGACAAATCCAGGTAGAAATTAGCCCATCACACAATAAGTTGAACACTTTTAGTAACTTAGTTTCCTCAGTTTACTGAAAGGTAACAAGAGTGCCAGAAGGGAAGCACTGCAAGTACAGCTGATAGCAACACACTTCTCTTTTAGTGATAGCAAGCCACCAAAATTGCCTTATCACTAAAAACACTCCACAACAAAGACACAACAGATCTTTTGAGACCTTCACAATGGAGAAACAGAGAATCAATTTTAAAGAATGCTGTGCACATTTTTTCTAAGCCTCTTTGAAGTTATTTTTTTCCATCAATTTTCTTCTCCCCTTCTAGAAAAACATGCAATTAATGAGCCTTAAAACAAGGTGCAGTATTTAAATAAAGTGAATTTCTACCCTGTTCTACAGAATATTCATTGTTTTCTTCACTGATGAATATGTCTAAAGCAAAACTGAAGATCTTCCGAGAAGTTTTAAGTTGCTACCAAAACAACACCTCCAGCTGCTAAACTTCTGACTTCTGTAAAATAATCCAATGCACATGAAGCAATTTGTTATAACGTGTGGCACGAGCATCACTGAAACCAGTTTCACAGGGAAACTGAGATTTTTTGCAAATCTGACTTCACAGTAGTATATATTGATATATGTCTCAGATACGATGTTTAATCTCAAAATGTCAGCTCTGCCTTCTTTTGTTAAGTGTACATCAGAGAAGTATGTAACTATCAAAAATTATATAGAGATTTTTTTCAGCCGGTGATTTCCAAATAACTTTTCCATGGGATGCAGCAAACTTCAAACAGGCTACATTTCAACTCTTACACCTCCTCAAGCAATTTTAATTGTTATTAATTTTCAACTTACGTGTGATTTTACTTCAGTGTCATATACAAGACTTTCCCAAAGGCCATGGAATTCAGCTGCAAAAGCAATATATTATATATCTGTTTAGGAGAAATCAATCTGGGAACTTGTAATCTACCACTGCAGCATAAAGCAGTTTTCAAATTATTCTCAAGCAAAATTAAGGATTAAGAACAGATATATGAGAGCAATTAAAATATATGGAAAAAAAAGATGTTATTTTTCTCAAAATGCAAACACTACTTTCTAAAAGACAAATTCAGCAGTTTCACACCTTCTGTTTCCTCACATAATTGTGAAGAGAAAGTAATCTTAATTTCTTAACATGAAAGGAAAAACAGAATTCATTCTTTCCACCCTCAGCAGAGGATCAACCTACATTTCCCTAAGACAGAGAGCTATGAAAATGTGGTGTGGGAGGAGGGTTCTAAGCTCAATTTTATCATTCAGTTTGCTTTTTTTTTTAACATCAACATGTAGAGGAGAAAAAAAAAGCACATAGTTGAATAATGCATTAAAAACTGTAGTTGTGATTTGGCTATCAGTCATTTTTAGCAGTTAATTTCTAGCTTTCAGCAAAGAAAAGCAAAAAAGACTGAACAATTATAAACCACAATAATATGGGAATAATGTCAAAGTATCAGATTGAATTCTTCCCGAAGAGAAATGTAATGGATAGTTAGGCTTTTCACAACATGGAAAGAGCAAGAAACGTCTCAGAATCACTGTCTCTTTAAGCTTAAGCTCACACCTGTACTTCTCCTTCCAGGCGCAGAATCCAACTTCCCCAAGCACAAGATAGTAAGAGGCAGGCCACGCTCTACTGCAGAGCAAAGCCTTATTCTTCTTTTCAGAAGACATGATGAGGACTCTAAATCTCTTTAGTTTGTTTGTGTGTTTGTTTGTTCCAAATATAAGAGCGGCACTGTCTTGGGGGCTGGAAGCCAGCAGTGGGCTCTGGAAAATGAATGTTTAAACTGGTGAGTTGCTTGTGGGTCTCCAAATAAAAATTTGGAATGCAGCTTGTAGGGTTAAAAATTTGCATGCTTCTGATTATCACTATACATTTTATTCCACAAGACCAGTTACTTCTACCCATCCACAAGTATTACATAAATAAATGATGTGTTGTGGAATCACCTGTAGCAGTTCAGACAAAACCACAACAAAGAAAGTCCAAATATATTGGTTCCATCCACAAAGGACAAAGTTAAGCAATATATACAAATAATACCTTTAACAGGTCACCCTATAAACACTTTTAGCCTTTCCAAGATTTTCTTTCATTGTAATTGCTCTAGGCCTTCCAGAAATATCACATGGGTACCTGCTGGTAGCACCCAGTGGTTAGCTGCAATGATATCCTCATTCTCTTCTTCCAGGTTTTCAGAGCTTGGTCCTTCTTCATTCAGATGAAAAATATGAAGAGAAAGACTGCTTTTGCTCAAGTCAATAGGCTAGAATGCACATAAAAAGACATTTAATACATCGTATTTCTCATTCAGAGCTAATTATGACATAAGAAAGTTACAGTTCGCAGCTGGCATTCAGCTTTGAAGCCTACTACTTCTGTTTCAGACCTTACTAAGGGGTGTAGGCCCAAAAACTTAGCCACCTTTTCCTGGTAATACCAGCTGGCCTAATAAAAGATACTACATCATCCTATAGACCTTGTCTTGCTTATGTCCTTAGGCTGTCACTTAGTCTACCTATAACCAGTTCACAGGCATATGAACAGAGCTGTACATTCTTGACTGTGAATACCTGTCTGTCTTTCAGTTTCAGCTCTGTATCCACAATCGACACAGACTGCACATTGCTGTTAAGGAAACCATCATCAAACTCTGTCCACTTGTAATCACCAAACACGATGTTATGTCTGTTCAGCAGCTTTAAGACATTCATCCTGATATCTTCTTTCTTGGCCGCACTAACAAGAAAGAAACAGCATTATTTATGGCATTGACATTTATAAGGAAGCATGAACTAATATCAGAGTGCTTTATTTCATACGCTAAGCCTACATGGAAAACAGCTTCCATCTCACAAAAAAAAAAAACCCAAACCACCAAAAAACCCAACAATCCCCAAAACAAACCACCCCCAAAAAACCAACCCACACAAAAAATCCCCAAACCCACTCACCCCCCCGTAATATTCTGCAGAAAAAAAAAAAAAAAACATATCAAGTTCAGTTTGTTTGCAAAAGCAACAAGTTTGATACTTGTTTTTATTTTGTGCATTAAAAAACACAAGTCAAAAAATACTATTTGCTGTTTGCAGTCTTATCAGAGGACATGGAATGACACAGCTAGATTTCCAGAATGGAAATCAGTTATGCAATCTGACTGTGTTTCACTAGGAAAAACTGAAAAACTCATAGCCAAGCTACTAGACTGAATTTGGTACACTTATCTTGGAAGCTCTATTACGCTTTTGTGTAAGAATTGTGTAAGAATTGCAGTAGCAGAGACAAAATCTACAGGAAAAGGAATACATGTTAAGATTTCAGAAAGGCTTTAACTTAATTTGCAATTTCAGTGATCCATTCCCAATATGAATTCCCAGTTCCTTGTCTTTTAAGTCTGACAAAAAGAAAGCAGTGAATATTTTACACCTTGACTTTAGCAACACCTTGGACATGCTCTCCCATAGTATCCAGATAGCCAAATTGGTAAGATAAGGACTGGGTAAATGCCACAAGGTGGCTGGACTGTCCAGCTAAAATGGTTGTGATTAGTAGTACAAAAACTAAGCAGAGCTGCCAGTAAGTTGGGCAGGGAAAGGTGGGGTGTTGCTGTCAATATTGGGACTAACTTTGTTTCTACATCTTCCTTTACACCCTGGACAATGGGATGGAAAGCAACTGCAGCAAGTTTATGGATCACACCAAAGCAGGGAGAGCTGTCAATGCACTAGAGAGCAGGGCTGCCATTCAGAGGGACCGCTGCAGGTTGGAGATATAGTTTGACAGGAACCTCTTGAAGTTCAACAAAAGTAAACATGAAATCCTGTCTCTCCATCTACTGCCCAGACAACAGTACAGACCAGAGGCCAACTGGATGAAAAGCAGCTTTGTGGAAAAGGACCCAGGGGTACTGGTGGACAGTTGTCAATGAGTCAGCAGTGTGCCCCTGCTACAAATAAGGCCAACCTTATTTTAGGCTGCGCTAGCAAGAGTGATTCTTTCCATCTACTGGCTGTTTGCGAGACCACATCTGGAGTATTGTGTGCAGTTTTGGGCTCTACTGTACAAGAGACAAGGATATACTGAAGCAAGTCCAGAATACGGCCACCAACTTGATTATGAGACTGGATCACATGATGCACAAGGAGAAGCTGAGAGAAAAGGGTTTGTTCTACCTTAGGAAGAGACACCTGTGTGGAAACTTATGGGAGAGTGCAAGAAAAGGCAGAGGAGAGTGCTATGCACTCGAGTAGGTGCACAGCACTCGGAGAAAAGGCAACAGATACAAGTTGCAGCAAGTAAAGTTTTGATCAGAGACCTGCTTGATTTCTGATGAACTTCCACATGTATTTGAACGTTGTCACACACGTTTGGGAGTGCCTGCTTCAAATCCCCAGCGGCTTCGTCCATCCTTCTCGCTCCTAGGAGGAAGGCGATACCAAGGAGAAGCAGGCTTTCAGCGACCGTTATACGCCAACGGCACAACCAGTCCTTCCCGGCACAGGAGACGCTGTGCCCCCTCCACGTGCACCCCGCCCACCGCGGGGACCGGCACTTCCCTCCCTCCCTCCCTCCGGAGATGGGGACGCCACCCACGGGACACGTCGCGAGCACAGTCGCGCGCACGGGCAGCCCGCTCCTCCCCCGCGGGCCTCCACGGTGGCGACAGAAAATCACCTCACGCCAGACAGGGCCCCGAGAACGGCGCGCTGTGATGGGGGGACACAGGTCCGCCCGGGAAGCGGAAGGGCCAGGCAGCTCCTCTATCCCCTCAGCACCCTGACTGCTGCGAGGGCTGCGCCTCCGCCGCACAGAGGGGAAAAGACCCCGCCCGAGCGCGAAGGGAACCTGACGCACCAGGACACCGCTACCGCCTTTTTGTAAAAGGCGGGCTTCCGCGCGAAGGTCCGCCCCTCTCCCCTTGACCTGGATCTTCCTCCGCGGCGGGCGGAAGGGCTCCTTCC